AAAAAAAAAACTATGGACGCGAGACAGGCATTCTGGGAACTGAAACTTTCAGATATCAAAGTCCATGCATACTGTCAAAATTTTTGCCCTGTAAGGCAAGAAGCAAGGCAGTGGAATGCTCTGGTAATTAAAATAACATAATCAATATTGTCTATAAATAATGATCATACAAGGATCTGCAAGATGATGAGTAAACATTTTGGCAGGGAATGACCGCCAACATATTGGAGCGGGCAGCGATGTCTTTATTAGGTCTCTCCTATTTCTCCTTTCTCGCCCGTCATCATGTCAATATCACGGGAATTTCCTAGACAAAAGCCTTCTGCCTAGCTCATAATTAAACATCCATCTTATTTAACCTTTAGCATTCCTCTAGCAGTAGCTAACGGTCGTGTAGTGGAAAGATGACTGGACAGGTGTGCGGAGACCTGGGTTTATGCCCACGGCTGGAAAGTTACATTTTGGAAGGTGAGGAGGTGAACTGAACCTGATGATGTTTACATTTCCTTTACAGCTCTGAAGCTGATAACTACTGCCCTGGGAAACGCTCTGTCCCGCCTTCTTAGAGTGCTAGCTCTACGTCAGCTTCCTAAGAGGTCTCCAGTATCAACAACGTCAGTGCTTTCCTCTCTTAAGGCAACAGTTTACACAAGAAGGACTGCTCTTATTTTTATGACAAAGATCCATACTAATTATAGCTTCCAGAAAGATTCTATGAAGTCATGTCTAACATTTGCAACTGTACACATATAAATATTTAAGTTCTTTGTAGCACCCATCTCTAACAATAAAACAACAGTGCGAAAAGGCTCTTCCTGTTCTCCACAAAAATTTGCGACACAGAATGTTATCACATCCAAATGTGAAATGTGACTCACACCCAGAATGTGTCATGATTTGCATAGATATTCTATTAAAAACTGGAGCTTCTTTGTGTATACAGCTGCATAACACCTCAGGCATGCTGGTAAGAAATAAATCATGATTGAGATTGGTGGTGGCAGTATCCAATCGGTTAGAGGAAATTACTTCTATTTTACTGATGACAATCCCAATTAATATTACTTTATTTTCTATGTCATCATATAAATAGCCCGTAAAGTCCCTATCATGTAATGCCCACTACCACTATTCCATAACAGCTCTAGACGGATGTTCTGAGGATGCAGTGTAACCACAATTACCACCGTCATCAAAGAATGATGTATGCCTGAGTCCTCTAAAACTTTAGGAATGGGGCAGGGTGATGGGAGAGGAGAGAAGAAAAGGCAAAAAGTGAAAAATGAGCATACACCTACATGTATGTCTTCAGAATACTCACAGATTCTAGAAATGTGTGGAGCCTTAAATCAACATCAGAGTTCAGTCCAGAGATATTCCCCACCCAGCCCTTCCCTGTCTTGTTCCAACCTATACACTCATAGCAGAGGATCCAGATTTCTCTGTCTTTAGGAATAAAACAGCTGAAAGAAGAATTGGAAATAGCCACTCTCTGTGGGTTTGATATCAGACTATAACAGCTTCATGCAGAAAGATCTGTAAAGAACAAAAATCCATCTGCACCTTCAACCCTCTAATAAGGTTTGCCCTATTTTCTCCAATTTGCCCTAAATAGAGCAAAATACTTTTTCCTGGCATTATCATATGCAAGAAAGAGTGGCAAATGCTCTAAACTATAACTATATAAAAAGGTTTTAGTTATTGGACAAAGGAAGGTATGATCACCTCCACTTAAGGCCAATGGTGAAGGAAAGAGGAGCCATGTGACTCATGAAATGAAGAAGGAAATTCACATGCTGAACCTCAAAGGCTTTATTGATCCTCAAATCGACAAAGAGGGGTGGCAGTGAGGGGAGAGCCATTCTGATGGAGAGTTTACATCTGCCTGGATTGCTCCCTTTGATTAAATGGAGTTGTACAATGATCTCGTGTTCTTTATGGGGATGCTAATATATCCTGTAAGAAGTTCTTACTGTCACTCTTTAATCCCTGGGAGCAAGCAGATAGTTATAGCAAACTGGCTCTATCCTAACATCTGTCATTGGATCCCTTACAACCTGGTGCTTTCATCTCCTCTCTGGAGAGGTATATTTGTTACCATATTTTCTTTCCATTCCAGCAGGTTTGTTTGCCTTGAACTGAAATTCTTTTCCACACATTTCTTCAGCTCCAATGGAAATGCTGCCACAGGAATGAGGCCAGTGGATGCCTCCTCTCATATTAACGTTATGCAAAGAAAAACACTACTTAAAACTTTAAACCATCTTTACTCAATAATGGACATTGGTTTGATAACTCAATCACAACCACTGACGTTTACAATCTACTAACTGTCATGCATTTTTCTATGCATAACTTTTAAATTTGATCCCTTCACTTTTTACTGAAGTTTAATTGGTTATTTGATGAACAATATTTTTTAACTGATTGAAGCATTTGTTAACCCAACTTCACAAAATTACCCAACATCACTCACACATATCTGCAGAGCTAACTTAAGCCGAAGCCAAGCTAGTGTTGAACTTCACATCTAATTCTATAAATTATCCCACACTTCTATTTTGGGGAGAGCAAGTATCACTTTCCCTTCATCTCCACTGCTAGCATGAGTATTTAAACTTCCTGGATTTTCAGAGCCAATATTTCACACAGAAATAGCGAGTGTTTATCACTTAACCAGATGTAGATGCTGGATGATTCACTGGGCTACTTCCTAGCCAGGTGATTTATTTCCATATACCAGCCTCACAGTATTTACTTAAGGAAAATTCAAGATAGTATATATAACAGGAATTTTAACTAACTCATAACCACATAAAGCACACGTGTTAAATGTACGTATGCTCCCATGATAGTTAATTTAGAAATGTCTCCAGGTCTTTATGTATGTGTCAATCTATAGGTCCTTGTCGATCTATAAAGAAAGCAAACACTATCTCAGTCCTCTACTTTTCCTACTAATTCTGTTTTTTTTCTCAAAAGCTTTCTCTGGGATGGGTTTTCTGACAGTCTTCTTCCTTCCTCTGTACTTTCTTCTCTACTAACCACTCTCGAATTGGTCTTAAATAGAATTGATAACATTTCTCTCTGAACATTATATTATAAATATGTCTCCTTCGAGCGTTATCCACATTTTATTATATATTATATGTTGTTTGTATGACATCATATAATATTGTGTATTACTTATGTGTGACATTACATATACAGAGACACACAGACACAGACAGAAACACACACACACACACACACACACACACACACACACACACACACACACACACCCTACAAGACGGTGAGCCCCTGGAGAACAGAAACCATGTTGTATTTATATTTCTAATCTAGTGCTTTTCACAGTGCCAGGGACAGTAAATAAATGTTGCTGAATAAATAAAAGTTGAATTTTCGCAAGGTTAGTAATAAAAATCCTTTTTATTTTTCATGGATTCCTTTTCCAGAGATAAAAGTGGTTTAAACTTACTAACCAAATAAAGTCCTATAATTTATGTAGGAATGAGTTACCATTACTCCAATACTCCAGAAAGAACAAGTGAAGAAAAAATTTGTTATTTACTCAGTGTTCCTCATTTAGTCACTGAGAAATAAGTTGTAGAAATGGGATCTCATAACTGACAATATTGTACTCTTATCCACTTACTTATGTTGCTCACTTGAGCATTTCATAGTCTCTGTAAGTAATAAAGTTTCTTTAGTGCAATATGCCTTATACTGAGAAGGAATATCAACTCTGTGCAGTCAAGAAAGGATCTGATTTCTTCCTGTCCTTTTATGTAATGGCCATCAGCATTATTATTCTCTCAGCTTTTCAGGTTTGACAGGGGACAATATGCTCTAGTGATTGTGAGAGACCATGAAGGATGCCCCGGCTTTTAGATAGTGTATAAGCAAATGGCTGTATCATCTGTGTTCCGTTTCCCTCTCTGTGAAAAAGAAAAGCATAATATTTAACAACACCACCAAGCTATTGTGAGGGTTAATTAGATTTAATGGAGGAAGGGAGGTGCGTTGATTAGGCACTATTCAAATTCGAAGAATCATTATTTTGTGTCTAAAAATAATCCTGATTTAGGAATAAAATTAATTTGAAAGCTCACTCTTTGGTAATCATTTTCCCATACTTAGAAAAAAAAGCCATAGTTTTCAATCAAAATCCCATTCTAAGCACAATTCAATGAAGTAAAAATGAAGATCTGTGAATTTTCACTCACCTTCAAAGTAAATACAGTACACAGTTCAATTTTTTCTTTTTCTTTCTTTCCTTTTTTTTTTTTTTAATACATTGTGTGTAGAAAGGTTAATTTTGTGGAATGGAGTAATTAATGTAATGAATATAGATTTTAAACCTACATTAATTAACTTTTGTTTCAAGTGAAACACTTTAAATTGCCTTTTTATAGAATCAATAATCAATGTTTTGCGGTTGAACTAACTTTTCACGTCATTTCTGGTAAGTTCCATCTATATTTTTGTTTAAGAACTAGTTAGTGAAAGATCTTTGTATTCCCCAAATTAAAAAAAAAAAAGTCCCTGGATAGTTAAGACTCAGAAAAAAAATCATCTAAATAGTAATAATCAAAATTAATATAATAGATTAATTTACTATGCAAATCTTCATGAGAAGTGAAAGTTGCTACCTGAGAAAAATTTGAATTGTTGCCTAAATCTCACTAAAAAACTTGACAGTATCTTCAAAAAAAGGCATTCTTTTAAAATATAACAGTTGACAACCCTGGGAAATATACCATACCTATTAGGAAAAAAGTGCTGCACTCAGTTTTTGGTGAGTGAAGGATTTTGGCTGCAAAAAAATTCTGTCCTGTTTATTTAGAACTTTCCAACAGAAAGGGGGCTACGTAGTTCAGTGAGTAGCAGCTTATTCTCCATAGAGAAGCAGGAATAATTCTCTTTTGTGTTAACACAGCTTTATTAAAGTTTCTCATGAGACTTACAAATGCTCATATCTTAAACTGTGTACTCACCAAGCAAACTTCTGATTATTCATTCGATTTCCCCGGACCCTTGATACTGGGGATGGATGTACCCTGTAGGCAGACGAGAGTAATCTAGTCATTGAAAAAGCACATTCTCGATTACAAATAAACAAATAACCAGGAATCCAGTTAATAAATAATCTCTTCTAGGTTTGCTTAAAATAAACCCTCCCAGAACTTGATCACTTCTTAGTAAAAGGATGCAGTTAAATTCCTATGTCTACAAACCTGCAGTCTCTTTTTCCTTCTGTGTATCACCGTGTTCACTGTAAAGACCCCCAAAAGCAGGACCACCAGTTTTAATCAATTGATTCATTCATTCAATCCAACAAAAAGTTACTGACTACCTAAACTTTGCCAGGTTTGGGAGTGGGTAAGAATAACGTTAAAGTATGGTGCTTGCTCTCAATGAGCCCTTTCTGCTACCTGTTCCCACAGGGGGACCATAAGAGACAAAGCACACATTCTCTGTCGGCTTCTAGATCTAAAAGCTTAAAAAGCAAGATAACGAAGGGGATCAGGATATGCTACCTCAAAATATGCTCGTTTGGCAAAAGGATTATTTTGAGCTGAAGGTAACTGAGAAACAGCAGACAGAAACTCTCTTCCCTTTATAGGCCTAAAAGTAGAGCATAAATTTATCTTTTGTAAAGAAAATTTTCATTTGTAAAGGTGTCCCCCTTTCCCATACCAGAAAGAGTACAACATACAGCTCTTATCATTAGAGGTGGTACTGAGATGAGTCTACATACAAAAAAACACTTATTTATCATTGGTTTCCTCCATACATTTCCTAGACACCTTCTTATAATTTACTTCCCTTAGAAGGCCAGACTCCTTTTATTTTAACTAGTCCCTTCGCCACAATTAATCACTCTTTATAAAAATGGTATATTAATGCCAAATTCTAACCACCTTTTTGAGTTACTTATCAGTGAGCATTCCTTCGTGTATGCATGTTGCACACATTTACAAATCGTTTTTTCTCTCCTGCTAATCTGTCTTTTTTCAGTTTAATTTGCAGGCCTCTTGACATCAAACATGAGAAGATACAGAAAACTTTTTTTTGACCCTTGCCTACAATAACTTCATCCAAATGTCCAGGAAGAGAATCTGCGGGAATGGAGGAGGAAGGTAGAGTGAATAGTTATTTCTAGGAGAAAGACCTCCTAGATAGGATGCTCTACAGCTTTGGGTTTTGAGGAAGGCAAAGTCAATTCAAATCTTTAGCAAAATAATCTAAGTAAGACTATATTGTCTTATAAGCTTCCAGGGTTAGACTCATGCACTGTAAATAGTTTAAATTTCTGCTGGTATCTTCTAACCAGGAACTAGCTGCTAAACCTTCACCACTTTGTGCGTTGCCCAGTAACTGGCAACACAGTATGTCCTACTTCCTGCTTCCTTGTGGCAAACTTCCTGCTTTGTTCTATCTTTACGAGGATTTGTGAGATCCAGGCGGTCCTGTAGCTTGTGCTATCTTTAGTCTTTACATCTCAGACATTATTCTTATTTACAAGACAAGAACGAAAACGGGGATTTTAAAGTCCAGTTAGAACCAATTGCTCCATCGTTGTTTAGCAAGTGAAAATCATTTCAAAGTGCATAATACAGTTCTAGCCCCTCAGAAGGGCCAACTGCAGTCTTTCAGTAAGTCCACAGCTAGACTGCACTTTGCACTTGGAAGGCTTATTTCTTCCAACGTCCCTTATTAAAATTCTTTTCCTCAAAGCACTTCTCAATGGCTGCTGCAGCTGAGCTGCTCGGCACAGATTTTTTGCTCCACATGGGGGAGGGGATGTTAATTATGCAGAAAGATGGAGACAGGCCAGACAGCCCCTCTGGTGAACTGTCTCATTCAAGCAAGGCCCACTTCCTGCTGTTTTGCAGCTACAAGGATCACCTGTTGGTCTTGGCATCTGGCCAAACTGGGGCCTAGCGGAAATGACAGACTCAGCTAGAAATGAAGGCCTGCTCATATTCCAGTACCCCAAATTGGAGAGAGAAAAAAAACGCAATAAAAATGTATAAGAATTATACAAAAGGTAGCAAAATTCATTTTTTCCTTCTCTTTTCTTATTTCTTTTTTCCTTCAGTCTGTCTGCTTGAAACGCAATCATCAAAATGGAACTGTGAGCCAAAAACTATCTCCTTAGTTAAAGCTCTTATCCTAAGGGATGATATACAAGAAATCCTCTTGAACCTTCCTTACATCCCCACTGGAGTGTTAGTCTTACAGCCTAAATAAAGTTTTAAAAAGTAATAGCCTAAATACTCACAGTTATTTAATTCACTCTATAGCCTTTGAATGTTTACTTCCTTTCTTGCTTCCTTAACCCTAGTATTTCTACTCTTCATAGTTCTACAAGGTGAAGTTTGAGGATAGAAAGATTCTCTTATTGACGGTTCTCATTGCATATATCACTGGAGAAAAACAGGCCTGTTTAACCTATACTCACACTAGTCTCTAGGCATTTTAATCTTGTAGCAAAACTTCATTGATCCATACATCAACTACTATAAGCGGATAATATCTGTAACAGTTTACCAGTCTTCAAAGAATTCCTGATTGTGTGTGTATGACCACATAATTATAAGATTTCTTAAATTAAAATGGTAAAACAAGAAAGCTTTTTTCCCCTTCCCCAAGTTAGTAAACTTATAACCTGGAATTTATTATCTCAGATAAAGTAAACCAATAAAAGTCTGCATTTCAGCTCCCTCCCAAATTTTATTTCTTCAAAACGGTATGCAGTGTTTTTGTGAGCTGTCTTTAAATTGTGACACTTTTTTGCCATTGCCTACCTTCTTTCCACATATAGCTGCGAAGCAGGTAGCAAAGTCAAAACCCCAGTAGGAGAAACCACCACCGAATCTGCATGTCATGCATTATTCATGACCCCCTGATTCCTGCACCTGCATCAAGGCAGGAAGCTTGCAGGGAATGTTCATTATTCTTCCCTGAGCCCCACACAGGCTCCATTACTGCTAAGCCACTTTGTTCTGTAACTAAGGGTTTCAGGCCTCTGTACTAACCGCTGGATATGGAAAGAAAAAAAAAAAATCACCATGCTAAAGAAAAGGGCAATCTTGCTTGTTGTGTAACATGCAAGATTGAATCCTACAATGTGCTCTTCTGAGACTGACAGTTTATGTCAGATGGAAATGCTCACAACCACATTACATAGAAAAAAAGGAAGCTATACCATTAAGGCCATGCATACCAACTGTTCTATTTATACACACTTACTCATCTGAGGCAGACGCATGTTTACCATTTTGCCCAATCGCTGGGCTTAATTTAGCTTTCCTTCTAAGCACGTGAAAACTTTTTAGATATCTCAATAAAGAAATGACTTCCTTCTTTGAGTCTCAGCACCAAAGGACCTGACCCTCTAATCCTGTATTTTAATGACTAACATTTATAGACAAGAGAACAGGATCACTGTTTTTCAATGTCTTCATGAACCTTCCTCAATGGCTGGTGGCTATAGATGGGACATGAAACCCAGACCTCCAACACAAATTGCTGATCACTGAGAGGCTGCTGGGTAAGGGAACCGGCCCTACCTTTTTACTATCCCCACTGCAGAAAAGCTGTGACAACTTAAATTTAATCTTGTAGCCCCCAATGGAACTAGGATAAAGTTGTAAAGAGTACACACTGTGTAACCAGACTATCTTGGTTCCGCCGTGAACCAACAGTGTCATCTTAGGGCAAGTTACTTAACCTCTCTGTGTTTCAGTTTTCTCATCGGTACAAACGGAGGCAGTAAGGGAGGCTATTTCTTAGGGCTGTGAGATATAAATGGGTTAATAGTTGTAAAGTGTTTATAACAGTGCTTGATTCCCAGGAAGCCATCAGTACATGTTAGCTATTATCACTAGTAGTGCTGATTAGATGGGAAAGGATGGGAAGATGAAGTGGAATATTCAACTCATTTCAGGAGACTGAGATGACAAATGTGGTCTGCAGAGCTTGCAGTCTTCACTACTTGGTTTATATAACTTCACTAAAGGCAAGAAAATAACAAAAAGAAATGAATACATATAGAGTCACATGAACCAAATACTCTGATTTCTAAGGTATGGCTTACTCTCTGGCATCTCATTTTTCTATTTTTTTATTAGACGATCTATCTTCTGTTTACTAAATTGCATAGTATTTCCATTATATGCTGTTGAAGAACAAGTCAATAATTATAGCAATACAAAATCACTTCCATTTATTAAGACTTTACTATGTGCCAGACACCATGCTTAGGACATTAGACACGTTATCTTATTTTATGCTCATATTAGTATTACCCATATTTTATCTTTGAGAAAATAGGTTCAGAAGAGTTAGGTAACTTGCTACGGTCATGCAGCTTGTGATCAGCAAAATCAGAACTTGAACACAGGAATGTCTGACCTGCTCTAAATTCAGATTATCATCCAATCCTTACGAATGCAGATATACTCCCACCACGCTACCTTAGAGGATGCAACAAAGTGAATGAACACAAGGGGCTTTTATGAGAGATTCAGCATTCACTTAAGCCTGATTGTACATTCTACAGTATAAGCTGACACAAAGTGAAAGTCCTGGTTTTCCTGGCCAACAGTTGGCACTAAACTAAATAGTAAACATGTGAGTACTCACAAGAAAGAGTCATAGTAATATACCATGTTCTCCCTTTCACTGTTTATGAAAATTCCTTGTTACTGGCATTGTTATTTAAACACAAAATGTACAACACATGTAAGTTTCAGACGGTAAAATTAATTCTTGCTACGGCCACTTCCTCTCTTTCCATTTTATCTAGAACCCAATCCAGTCCAGTTTGTGTCCACGCCCCTTTGATAAAAACGTTCTTGTCATTGTCATCAATGGCTTCCACATTTCCAAATCTAATGGTTAATTCTGTCTTCACCTTCTCAAAGTCTCTGCAGCAACCACCATAACTGATCCCTCCATCCTCGACAGCTCTTTACTCATCCTCAGTGACATTCTTCTGGCTCCCTCCTCTTTTTCCCTTTGTCTGAATCTCCCCCTCTCATTCTTTGAC